TATGTTTCAAGCACTGAAAACATTTTGTGAATCAAGTAATAAAACAATTTCTGATAGTTTATCTCAATTTATTTAACCGAGTACGCTTCTCTAAATGTTATATCTAAACAATTATTTCAATCACAATCACGAATATTAATGAATCAGTTCATTTCTTCAACAAACAATACTTTTTTATCATTGTTACAAACCTTACGTGATACAACGCAAGCCAATACACCAATGTCAGCTGTACAATCAGCGTACATTTTTTTCTCGGACGGGACCGATGGAATAGTATTACAAAGTCTGGTCGAATATCAATGCTCCTGTACATCGACACCACAGTGCACCCTACCATTACAGATGTACCACTATTATTTTCCTATACAGTTTAGTATTCCGGGTTTACGATTAGGATGTTTTGTCATCGAAGGAGTATTACAATCGACTTTAGAATGTTTTTATAATCAAACATGTCTCAACAGTTTACAATCGTATATAATATCGCCCATATCAATAAATGTAATACCACTTAATTCATCATTATCTAGTCAATTTAATGAAACATCAACTATACAAGAAGTTGTTAATGAATTAATGGTTGATAAATGGAATTTATCTAGTATATATGAGAACTATTATAAAGAATGTCAACCAATAAAATGTAGTTACAGTTATGTGGATAGGAATAATATAGTTATCATTATCACTACTCTTATTGGGCTAATTGGTGGACTAGTAAAAGTTTTGAGATTTATGATACCAAAATTAGTGAAATTTATACCACGATTAATGAAGAAAATACGAAAATACTTCAGTTCGTCAAGATCAGAAACTGGTAAGATAAATTGATATTGAGGATTGAAATCACTTGAAAATTCGATATTTTTCAATATTATGACAAAATCTTATGTTCCAAAATGGAATCTTTTTATATGAGTTTTCTTTTACCATAATTCTAACCGAAAGATGGACTAGACTTGGACCGCTATAACATTTGTAAAATATATTTTTTTTTTAATTCTAGAGAATAATGTTATTGAACCGACTATTGGAAAATGGCACAAAATAAAGAACTTTCTTCAAAACCTGAATTTATTTTCATCAATACCACCATCAACTAATGAATATGATCTTCGGAATCAACGAATATCAACAAGATTATTTATCATCGCATTAGTTTTCTCAACAGCTATTCTTATTGGATATAATTCACTTATTCATGTTACAATGATTGGTAATATTAATTCACCTGATCTTGCTCAATATTTAGATTTATATTCACAATATCCACAAACATTAACATGTCCATGTACTGATATAACGATAAAATATGAAGAATTTCTTGAAATTGATTATACATTACATCAACTATGTAGTAGTACTTTTGTTACTGATGATTGGCTTGATTATCTTGATGAGGCTGATACTGATGATGTATCATACATAGCCGATATTCGAGTTTCAGGCATATCTATGTTTCAAGCACTGAAAACATTTTGTGAATCAAGTAATAAAACAA